AGAGAGAGAGAGAGAGAGAGAGAGAGAGAGAGAGAGAGAGAGAGAGAGAGAGAGAGAGAGAGAGAGAGAGAGAGAGAGAGAGAGAGAGAGAGAGAGAGAGAGAGAGAGAGAGAGAGAGAGAGAGAGAGAGAGAGAGAGAGAGAGAGAGAGGAGAGAGAGAGAGAGAGAGAATATATGATAGATAGATATGCCAAAAAGCATAATACCACCTCTTTAAAGGTTCAGTGAATAAGTTGTAGAGACATCTAGTGGTGAGGGTTGCGAATTGCACCACCCTTCCATACCGAAAGGGAGCAGTATAGCTACGGTGCCTGTGACAGGACAAAGATGTCATCTGTGAGATAAGAGATTGCCAGTCAAGAAATTAGGTTTCTTTTAGATATATAAAGAAATTATAAATTATTTTTGAATATTATTGTTACTTTTTCATTAATAAACAGCCTCATGAAGATATGATGTGCTACATAATGTCTCATTCCCCTGTAATACATTATTTTACATCTTGGGAGGGTTGGCTCATCTGGACTAACATACCAAAGAAAATTAAGAAATTCTCAAACTGTCACATCTAGTGCATCAAGTATGACCACTGACAGATACCAGGACAATGGAAGCCTCACTGTTTCTGCACCACAGTCCATTATAAACCACATAATTCATGAAGTTTACAAAGGCATTGGCTGGTGAGGATCAAGGCTCCTCTTGCTTTTCTTAATTAGATAACCAAAATGTCTTTTTAATTTTTTTGAAATGCAACAGAAACACAAAGTAGTACTGACAGCCATAATGTTAGCTTGTGGCAAAACGGTGCAACGTTTTTAATGCGCATTTAGCATGTGAAAGTAAAAATTACATATTTGTGTGCACAGTGGGAAGCAATATCCAGTAAAGTTTTTTTTAATGCAAATTCGGAAAGTATTTATTATTGGTCACTTGATAGTAACACGGTCTTGTTATATATCACCGTTAGCAGTAAAAAGAAATACATGTTTAACACCAGGGCAGTAAAATGTGTAAAAAGTTTAGCTGCTGATCTGAGCTTCCCTGCTGTTACCGTTTCATTACCAATAATATTCATCAGCTGTTTGTCTCAGAAAGGTAAGGGCACATTTCTGTCCATGTAACAAAGCCATAACAGAGGCTGGAGAAGAACTACATAAAGTTACAATCCACCTACCTTTCTACCAGTGCAGTAAAAGTTTAAATGGCTGATCTGAGCTTCGATGCTGGAAGCTGCCTTTTATTGGCAATTAGCAATCAGCTGTTTCAGTAACATACAGAGCCAAAACAGAGCGCTAGAGAGAGAGAGAGAGAGAGAGTCACTGCATGAAATTAATCCAACTAACATAACACCACAAGCCAAAGCACAGCGCTGGAGAATAAACCAATCCAACTAACAATAAATTTTTTTTCTACCAGTCAGTAAAAGTTTAGCTGGCTGATGTTTCCATGCTCTAAGCTAATGTTACGGTTTTATTGCCAATTAACGTTACTTATCAGCTGATTGTCTCACTAAGTAACCGGCAAAGCCAAACCACAGGCTGGAGAATAAGTAGGCGCCATGAAATTTATCCATATTTCACACCACTGACAGGAGAAACATGGCTCTCTGTGATTATAGCCAGCTTCTAGCTAAAGCTATCAAACATCAGTTTTCATTTGCATCGCTAAAGTCTGACAAACAAAGTTAATTACATGTCCAGCAGAAAACAGACAACTTTCTTGCTTTGAAAACATCTGTCCCACATTAACGTTATAGCCTTCCATCTGGGAAAATCCACAAAATCCGTGATTTCTGCAGTCAGCTGTCCCAAATGTCACTTCTCTTTTTACTTCTAATAAACCAGAAGATTACTCGGAGATTGTATATTACTATTATTATTAGTCCCTCTTCTTCTTCTTTGTACGTACTCAATGTAGTGACGGGCATCTACACTACCGGAATAACACAAGCAGAAGAAGAACGCCATGATGACGAAACACGCTCTGTAGCGCTGTTTGTTTGTTGACGGCTACAGTAGAAACATGACGACAAAATGCAGCAACCTCCACAGCAGGGGGTGCCCGCGGTTATGTAGATATAAATGTCTCATTCTAAGATAATAAAAACATAACAGTTCATTATGTAAGGTCTTTATACACAACTGAAAACATAGTTATGGATCTTATATATCATTTCTGTCAATAGATCCTCAGAAATATTACACACTGGACCTTTAATATACTGTAAACATGGATGAATTACATTGACACACATTCCACTTCTAAAGCAAAATGCAAAGATTTTAGCTCACAATGCACATACTGTATAATCATGTCTATTCAGCTCTCACATCATGTATCATAACATATCACTGCATCGACTTACATGTTGTATAATCATACCATATGTGATAAA